CCAAAAAGTGCCAAAACTAAGCTATCGTCATCACTTATCAGACGTACATACATTCGGTAGTCGACTGTATTCATTATAGACAATGATGTTTTTCAAGTTAACAAAAAAAGGACTAATATTTTTGATTTAAATTCAAATTTTCCTATTTGATGTTTCATTTTGGTTAGTAATCGATTAAGGTATAATACGGTTAATTGAATTTTCATTTTAATTTGAATGCAAATTTTTTCAAAGTACTGTTTTAAATTTAAAAAATGAAATCATGAATTATTACCACCTCATTTATCAGCCAAAATGAACTAAATAACAAACTATCTTGGTTGGCCATTTAATATGAACAACAATTGCAAGGTCACAAATCAATCAAAATTTTCGAAATTTCGTCGACATAATCAAAAATTAAACCCGCAAACAGTTGAATAAGGAAGGGATTCTTTAATGTTCGTAGCACAAAAAAAAAAAGAAACGACATTTTAATTTGCTTTAAATTAAAAAAAAATAGTAAACCGTTACACAATCTAACTTAACATATTATCATCTACAGAACATTAATATAGGTGATGCGGAAGTAATTTAGCGAAGCTAACTTTTAATTATATTCAATCTTGAATTATCCATTTCTAAATTTTTAATTAAATAATAAACAAATTATGACTACTTCACAACAATTTCAACATTTTTCCCAAGCATAAACTACATAGCATGCCACTTGATCTACACTCAATGCTTACTTCTAAGAAGCCTAGCAGCCTAGTGCAGTTTTTTTCACCTAGTAAAATAGGATTGAATTGAGGAGAAACGATGCCTATGTCCTTTCTTTAATGCAATTCGCATGTCATTTTCGATTAGAATTTCCAATGAATGGTACCAATGCATGCACAGAATTTATGACTAATATTAAATAATTGCTTTATTTTAAAAACTCATCCATTATCAAATTACATTTCGATAAACTAATTACTTCCATTCATTAGTAATTAACTAAACTTAAAAGTACTTTTTTCACTCATTTCCTCTCAAAAAAAAAAAAAAAACACACCTCTAATCTTTCTATCCTTTCTCTTCTCACTTTCACTCTAAATTCAGACTAAAAATAAGGAAGAATGAAAAAGAAACGATTCTTTCCATCATTTTGCAACATGCAATACCGTACCATTTTCATCAATCATACCAATTAACACCATCTCACCTATGTATATTCCATTAAATAAAATTAATCATCATCATTATAATCATAATCATAATCATAATAATAACAAAAATAGCCACAGTAATTTTTCGTCTATTATTGATATTTGATGAAAAGATGAAACATTTTTAGTACTTTCAATTGAAATCAAATCGATTGGAAATAATATATAATTAGTTACCTATTAATTACCCAACAAAAAGGAGAAAAAAAAAACGAATGAATGGATAATAAATGAATGTTAATAATTGATATTTACATTATATGAATAAATTATCCATGCCATTTTCGAGTAAATAATTTTTTTGCAAAAATGTTAGCAAATTTACAAAAAGATGTAATATGAAAGAAAGTGAGGAGAAGAAAGCAAAGGCCGAAGAACAAAAGTGGATGAGAGTAACAGATCGGAAGGTATCGAAGGTACAGATTTAATGTTTTAATTAATTTAGTAAACTAATAGGAGGAAATAAGAAGAATTGTGTAGTAATAATAGAACAGTAATAGTAATAGTAATACTGGCAATGCTCAGCTTGAAACGTTGAATTCGATGATCCATCCATCCATCCATCCAATTCTTTCCTTCCTCCATCCATCCATCCATCCGTCTGTCCATCCGTCCATCCGTCCGTCCGTCCGTCCGTCCGTCCGTCCGTCCGTTCGCTCGTCTGTCCATCCATCCATCCATCTATCCAATACACCATGGTACCACACTAAATACTGATAGACATGCACACACACACACAGACACACAGACATAGACAGACAGACATCGAAGAAGAGAAAGAGTGATCGTTGTTCGATTGTTGTCGTCTGCTCTCCCTCCCTCCTATTCTCGCCATCCATTTCAAAAGGTTCCATTCCCATCGTTTCCCTTCCCTCTTCATTTTGATGTGCAATTTGAGTACTACAAAATATCTATCAGTATTGCTTACTTCTCTTTCACCTAAAATTTTTGAATTTAAAACAGAAGGTAAATCAATAAACAAATTAAGCGTCAAATGACATTAAAATAAGGATAATAAGCAGTAAACAGTAGTAGTAGTAATAGCAGTAGCAGTAGTAGTAGTAGTAGTAGTAATAGCACTCTTCATCTCAATCATTCTTATTTTAAAAGCTTCTCAAGAATCGAGAAAATATCGTTATCCATCGTTTAGTAGTACCAGGTGAAGCATGTTTCTAACTCCTTACTTAACAACCGAAATATGAGAGGATAAGGAGAGAGGGAGAGGAAAGAGGAGAGGGAATGAAAGAGGAAAAGAGAGGGAGAGAGAGAGAGAGAGAGAGAGAGAGAGAGGGAGAAAGAGGGATAAAAAAATTGAGTATGAAAAAGAGAATCGGGATAGAAGAAGCGAAAATCCGAGAGGGAGAGAGAGTGAAGAAGAATAGTGTGTGGTACTAAACGAAACAGACGGAGCCATCTTTTCCCTTCTCGTCCCCTCTCTGAGCTGATGACAAATCTGTGATGCTTCGTCAATTCAATCATCCATTTTCAAATTTTAAATTTGTTTAAATTTCACTTCCAATGCATTCATTCCAAATTATTATTTAATTTTTTTTTGGAAATTATATGCATTTTATTATACGAAAAGTAAAAAATTCCTTATGCATAATGTAAAGTAAAAGTGATAAAAATTAAATAAAAATTTTCTTACATTTAAAATACGTGTGTGCAATACGTAAAAATACGTACAACAAAAAAGAATAATATGTTTAAAATATTTATAAAAAAAATATGTGAAAGATACAAAAAAAAAAACTAAATTAGTACACATAAGATATTTGGCGGTAGAATTTTTACCCAAATTAATGAAAGGTAAAGAATTCGGAAATATTATGTGGAATAGAAGAAGGAGAAATTAAAAAAGAAAATATAAATCTAAAATGATTAATTGTAACATATATATCTTAATGAAGAAAAAACAAAGGGACAAATATCAGTACACATACATTAACGAAATGCGATAAATATTATAATATTAAATATTAATAAACATTTATTTATAATGAAGAAAACTTTTGCTAAAAATTAGTAAAACAAAATTAAAAAAAAGAAGATAGCATAATGTGTAAAAAAGTTAGATTCCTCTGTAAATCAATCAATGCTTAATTCATTTGCAATTTCACACGATTTAATTCAGCCGTATTACAGTTCCGTTTTTTTTTTCTTTTCTCAAACATTACTTAGTGAAATCCTTCCGAGAATTCCCATCATTCCGTATAAAGTTTGCTTGAAATTGGCAGCTCATAGCAATTTGATCATGCAAAAAACTTTCTTTTTTCTTTTTTGATATATTTAACATAAAAAAGAATTTCTCCCTCCTTCTTTCTCCTTTTTTTCTTTTTCATTTCAATTTAATTCTACTTCTCGTTATTTACTTTTTTTTTAGCTTACTTTTGCTTATCTTTTTTCTTCTTCTCTTTAATCGAATGTGTATATATTTTTTAAATATAATTTAAATGAATGTTTTTAGTCATTCAATTTTTTTTATCTCTTTCTTTTTTTATGAACCACTTTCTGATTTAGCTTTTTGTTTCACAGTAAAAAAATAAAGATAATCCATTAATTCATTTTAACACATGCGATTAACATTCAATAATTCTTTTTATCCATTCAAAACTAAAGTTTAAAAAAAATCTTAAAATTCAATTGTAATTTGCAACAATTGAAACTAAACTTATCTACCCATTTAATTGATTAATTTATTTGGTTGACAGCTTGCAATGATAAATAAGAATGAAATATATTTAGAGTGGTACTTCATCTTTTATCCATCCCAATTATGTGAAACATTCGATGCTACCAACATCAAGTGGTACTTGTCACTTCGTGGTACCACTCATTTGTTTGTTTTTCATGCGATTACTTGCATAAATTGTCTTATCTATGATATATCAACAGAAATAAATTGAATCAAATGAATTAAATTGAAATAAAAATTAATTTGTAAATTTCTGAGAGATGATCCATCACATTAGACTTCTTCATACGGTGACATTATCATAGTAAAGGCAATGCTTGAATTTACTAGAATTTTTTTGCATGTCATGACAAATCGGAAATGGAATACAAATTAGCAATTAATTTTGATTATTTCATTAATTGCAAAAGATATTCATGTTGCCAAAAATTGGATTAAAGTTTAAGAATTTTAAAATAAATATTTTAAAAATCTATAAATGCATAAAAAATTATTTTAATAATATATTATGAATTTATTGAATAGACTTGTCAGTAATGGTTTAAGCAGTGATTTGTGAATTCATTTAAGTAATGATACTGTGAATTTATTGAATAAATTTATGAAATAGAATGATTACGATTCTATTATTACATATAAAGTAATGATATTGTAAATTACTTAGTTTTCTGTTTACCCTAAGCTATCAATAATTATTCATTTCATTAAATATGAGATTCTATTTTCGTAAATATGAAAAGAAAATTTAATTTGTATTTGTATATTTGAGAGAAATTTTATTTGCCTTTGAACATCTTTTAATTTGGGTCATTTTCTTATTGCATCAAAGAAAATACTTGAACCAAATATCTCTGGGTGAAGGTCAACCAAGGTCAAATACCAGCAAGCTAACGAGTACCAAAGGTCACTAGCAAGAAGTCGCTCTAAATCATTTACTTGCAATTATCGAGCATCATAATGGGAGTGACCAGCGAGAAAGGTCATTGTTGTCCCTTTCACCAATTCACCATCTCTTTTCCACATTATCGAATACCTGATTCCACACATAGCATAGAATTTCGACTTCATCACTTCTCCTACTTCCTGATTGAGAAAGTTCGAATAACGAAGCAACAAATCAATATTACTGATTTTTTTTAACTGTGTAGTAAAAAAATACCTACAAATTTAATTACACTTTGAAACACTCAATTAATAGATTCCCGAAAGGTCAACTAAGGTCAACATCATTAAATCTACGGGAAGCAAAAGTTAATGAATAAGAAGATTGATTAGACAATGGAATTATTAATGATTACATCTAATGAATGTCTCAAATAAGAGTACCCGGTTTTCAGTGTTTTTCTTTTCAAACAAAAACGATTACTCAATCGTCCTCTCTCGTTTTTCTTCAATATTTGACTTTGTTCCCTTAGATTTAAATGACACTTTAAGTGATTCAAAGAATGGAACTATTAATTGTATGTTTCAAAGTGTAATTAAATTTTCATTTGAAAATTATTGATTTTATAACTTCTAAATTTATTTATATCTTAAAACAATTAATTAATCAGTTCCGCAGTAAAAATTAATTTAATTTCATTTAAATGCATACATCCAACAGAATCATTATGAATTAGCGGGAGTGATGAATGAAATGAAATTATTTGATTCATAATATTTTAAATTAATAGGTCGAATAAAAATTATTAAAGTAATAAGAAAAAAGTACTTTAATTTTTATAATCATTATAGATATATCAATCTGTAAACTTTTCATTTAATTTCATTTAATTCATACTTTTCTCATTTTCAGCCGTACATTTTGTTTCAATTAAATAAGTGAAAATTTCAAAAAAAAGAAGAAAAAAGAAAGGAAAAAAAAAAAAAGATTCATCTACAAATAAATTTATGTTCCACGTTTTAACTTTCATCGTCTTTGACGTAATTTTTGTTCAAAACAGAAAAAAGGAAAAGTGTAATATACA